AAGGCAAACCCTGTCTGCAAGCACGCCCTGGAGCCATGCTGGTTTTGTTTCAGAGGTTTGATTTTTTTCAGGAAAAAAATAAATCAAAAAATCAAAATCACAAGGTGCAATACTTCTGATCAAGTCTGCTGCTGTAAACAAGTGCATCACACAAGCACAGCAGGCAGCTCATTGCCATCATGCTGCTAGAAACCCTACCTCATGCTTAAGTGTTGATTTTGTCACATCAGTTCTCTTCCTAAACAAAAACGTGTCCACATACATCCAAATGTATTTTGTATGTGACCAGGAACACAGTAGGTACTTACAACCTGGATTTCTTCACTTAGCAGTTGGTAATTTCACATTTTCAAGAGCAGCCTGTGAAGGCCAGGTGTGTATAACAAAGGTATCACAAGGGAGATCTTTCCAGTGAGTGACTGGAATGGCTCGTTGTGAGCAGGATTTTCTGATTGTGAATAAACCAGGACACTGTGGTGCTTCCTATGCATTTGCTGGTATAAATGAAAATGGAATCAGACCTTAGAACTTAAAAATTTGCTCCTTTTAATTAACACAGCAAGAAACAATAGCTGTCACCTTTCATGGCCACGGCTGGCTGTGTTCCTGCCTGGCAATTTGAACATTGTATACTGAAGGCAACAGTTTGCATTCACACCATGTGATTAATGAAACACAATTCTTGCTAATCATAGAAACTTTTTATATATTAACTACCTGGTGCCACACTTGCTTCTGTCAACACCAAGAGCAAAAATCCTGCTGAACTCACCTTCCAAATCTCAATTGTTCTACAAAGTAGAGAGGCATTTTATTTACACTTTCCTGAGGAATTAGATTCAAAACCCTGTCTGTTTTGAACGGAATAGCCACATATATGAGGCATATGAAAACAGAAGACCTTTTGAAATGTGAAAATATGCAGTTCACCCCAAGGCTATAAAAAAATCAGTGGGAAGGCCAAGATCAGAACTAAGACATTTTTTGCTCACAGCCACAGACTACAGTTTCTGCAAAATGCTGTCTACTGAGAAACATGCTCAGAGCATCCTTAGGTTGATGTTCCTTGTTAGTTGGTGCAGAATTGCTTTGAGACTGATTTTTCCATCTCATAATATGTAGTACAGAGAATCACTTCTTGAGAAGATTTTTAATAGGCACATCATTAACTACTGTCACAATAAAAGGTACTTCGTGTTTAGCATCATAAAATTCCAGCCTTGATTCAGCCCATGATTTCTTCCTCTGAACAGGCCTATTTTTAATTAACATATTTGCAAATGTCAGCAGTGCTACAGAGGGTACTTTCTTCTGCTTGTGTCTGCCTTACATCTTCACACTGCACACAAGACTAACTTGGTGTGTACCTAATCCTTTTGCATAAACTTACAGGTGAATCCTATATCCTTCCAACACATGTTCAGTGTTGTCACCTATGATTAGCTGACAGATCTAATACCTTGTCATGGAACAAAGTCAAAATTTTGTATAGAATTACTTGATTGAAAGGGTGATGGCTGTTTTTTGTGGTTTTTAAACTTGAATCTTGTACTTTGCTAATTTCTTCTTGTGTCACCAATCCCAGCATCTGCTTCCTACTGCTGGGAGGGTCAATCCTGTCAATCAGATGATCAATGAACTATCACAGGCACTCAGATAACTCTGCAAATCACATGTCCACTCTAACCCCTCAGGCCAATTCAACAGCCCTACAACTGTGTGTATCTTAAAGACTAAAACAACCAGCGTAGAATTCTTTCCATTACCACTGTTTCTTCTTAAATCACACAGAAATGACAAGCTTGCAAAGAAGATGGAGATTTGTTTCCACATAAAGTTATTTCCTGTGAATGCTTTCACACATCCTTTGCCTAACATGATTTTTGTGAAAATGAAATATAGTCATAAAAACCCTGCAGAAAGCCATGAGTATTGCCCAAGGGGAATTACACTGCAATGGGGTTCTGCAGGTTTACTCCCAGGTCTCCTCCTCCTCACCCATCCAAGCCAAAAGGAGCAGGCACCAATACTTAAGGGCACTAAAAAGCAGCACTCAAACTTCCCACTAATGAGACAAGAAGGAATTAATGAACAGGCACAAATAATACAGCATCATTCATCTTATAAGCAAGCAGTATTTACTATGGCCTTCCTACCTGTGCTTACCTGTCAACATTTCACAGAAAATAAAGCTACAGTCAATCACAAATATTGTCATGTAGGGCAGTTTATCACATTTGTTTCCAGGTTCATACCTTCTGCTAAGTCATCTAACTGAATAAAGTAGTACTGAATTATAAAAATGAAGAATTATACTGCACTGGAAAGTGGCTCTAAGCTTTTGTGATTGCACAGAGTGTAAAAACCTATTTTAGCCCATTCAGACACTTGCTTAAGAAAGTTTCAGGGAGGAAACAAAAAAAAAAAAAAAAAAAAAATCAAGCTCAGAAATCTCTGATGATAAACTAACCTTTTAATATATTGCCCTTGATTTCCAGGGTTTCAAAACTGGATTAACTTCCACGGTCCAGATGGATATATTCACTGTGCTAATCCACTGTGTTCAGTTCAAGTTTATTATGCTAAATACACTCCAAGAGGATTTTATCTTTTACCTGCACCTTCCTGTGCTCAGTGAGACTCTTCTATTCATCAAGCATGAGAAGCACAAGATGGGGTGGAACCTGCCTTTTTAATTATCTTGTACCAAAGTGGCCCCATGATGGAGATGAACTGCTCAAATTCTCTTATTTTAGAGCAGCTCATTATCTATGGAAGATCACAAACTGAAGGAAAAGGTATGCTGAGCATGCTATTGATTACAACTCTATTTGTCATGATTCAGTAAGTTGAAATTTCATATACCAAATATTAAATTACTGAAATTATGCTTTGGCTCATCTGCATCCATTTTTTATTCACTTTTATTTGGCTCAACATTTTAATCTTACTTACACAGTTTCCAACTAAAAGTAAACTACGCATTCCTAATAATATAAATATGAAAAATAGGGTGTGCTCAGGGACTGCAGTTGAATACATTAAAATCACTCAATTTGCTAGTTAACATATTTCCATCCCTTTTATGTACAACCTTTCACATTTAGTTGGCAGACTGCAAATTCACGGCCTTATAAAAAAACCACTGTCTTGATTTTCTGTTGTGACAGCAGAAATTGTCCAAAATATTTAAGAGTTTCCCTAAAGGACACTCACTGGTTGGTTCTTCCCAGGTGCAGCACAATCTGAATTCGAGGTGAACATCATGTCAAATTCCACTCATCTGTCAATGTAGTGGATTATTTCTTGAGAGACTGAAATTGGCTGCCTGGGATCAGAACACCATCAATCTTGTTCATGTAGGGTGCAGAGAAGCTGCCTGAGCCAGGCTTGCAGGAGGGAAAGCTTGGCTGCTTCTAAGTAGGTGATGAGGCAGCTGTAAAACCTTCACTCTATCTGTAGCACATCCCTGAGTGGAAGATTTTGTCATTTTTCACATTTCCCCAACATTTGGTATGCATTCAGTGTCTTGCTGTTCTTGCTTCATAAAAAAGGTGATTTTTCAAGCTTAGGCAAATGTTGCAGAGATCTGGTTCTGCCCAGCCCTCATTTTTTCTCATAATGTCACTTGTTTCAACCGATTCCATAAAATGATATTACATTTTCCTTTTACATATCTGCTTAGCTGGGCTGTTTTTTCCCCATTCCTTCACTAGGGACACACTCAAATAACCAGCAGCATTACTAATAACTGCATTATAATAAATCTCTGCAAGTCCCACATAAGTCCCTCACCCCTCAAACTTCAAGCACTCCCAAATATCCAGTACCAGGGGGTAAAGGTAACACCCCTGGTTAATCTGATGCTCTAACATTGGCACTGAGACCTGGCCAAGGATTTTGGTCTATTCCTCTATTTAAGTTTTATTACAACAAACCAAGACAATGCCAATACCTGTGACTTCTGGGCAAGAAATGTACTTGGGGAAACTTTGAGTTTTAAAGTTGCTAAAGACCGGTCAAGACCATCTGTGTTTGAAGAGATGTAATTTGTTCAAAAAACCATTAAAATATTAATTACCACGTTGTAAAATGACTCATCACTGTGAGTTAACACTTTCCATCTTTCATTTCTACAACTCTTAAAGCCTCTCCCACCTTTTCTTTGGATTCAAATTTGGTTAAGTGACATTCTTGGCCCATTTTAAGCAGATGAAAATACTGTGCTAGAAAATGCCACCACCTCAATTTTTAGCATAGCACATTCTTCAAAGTGCAATTAGCAGTCAAAGGAGTTATGTGATACATTTCTATTAATAAAAACACAATTAAACCACAGCTGTGCTGTCCCTGCAGATGCAGCAGTCCAAGTGAGCTGTGTTCTCCACTGCTAACCTGTGGCATTGATTCTGCCTTTACAGGCATTGCACTCTATTCACAGTCCCAAATTCTCCTCCAGGCCACACTTTTGCAGCCCCATCAATTTTCAGAGGTGAACTTGAGACCCTCAGAATAAATGTGTCTCCTTTAACTCCTCTAAGGCAAACACCCGGCCTCCAGCACACACCCATGACCGAGGGAGGTTTGGTGCCAGTGGTTTAAGGAACAAACCCAAACCCAGTTTGGGTCAGATAAGTACAAAGTTCCACAAAGCTGTGTTTTCTGTCACAGAGTCCAAGTTCTACAGAAATTCCAAAACTTCACCATATGGGGAGGAGGGGAGAGAAAAACAAGGACTCAGAAACTGAACCATTACCCACAACAGGATTCTTAGGCTGGGAAATTGTTAGAAAATTACATTAAAGGATGATTGTCCCCACATTGGATTGGCAAAGCACAACACACATTAGACTCACCAAAAAACAGATGCTGTGCAATACAAAGGCAAGCAACTCATAAAACTTAAATGATAAAAAGAATTTTGATTAGTCAATCATTTGTCAAGACAGACACGAGCACAGGCAGAGAGCCTGCAAGCCCAGAGCTGAGCTCAGTCCTACCTGGTCTGTGCAGGTGATGCTGCTGGAAAGTGTGATGGAGGGACCCCTGACAGAGCAGCATTGCACAGGCACTTATCCACAAATACAGGACCCAGGACATTGCAGAGACCACTGCCATTCTCTAAACAAAATATTAGACACACATTATTATCCGATGTCTTACAGCACACACAATAAGTCAGCTTCCATTACAACAGTGTTTTTAATATTATTCTTTTTCACTCTTTTTGCTAAATGTCTTTTGATTATTATTACCCCCTGCAGGATGCAATTTTTGTACAACAAAGGTCATGCCCAAAAAGGACAGCTGAGGTAAAGAGACATCAACACAGGAGCCTGGATAACTTTAATAATTCAGTGGTAAAAATCAAACTGTAATAATCTGAGGACTAAAAAAACCCCACAATATAAATAGAAGCTGGAAAATATTCTTGCACTGATCCATAGCTCAACTTACAGGAGAGTTAAAAATATAAACCAAATTATAAAAAATCACAACACCAGCTGGAAAAAACCAACATGATGTCCAGACAGTATCAAAGCTGCTCTAAACACATTGCAGAAAGGCATAAAACATCCTCAGATATCCAAGACATAGTGCCAAAATACTCCATCCTCAAAACTAAAAAGACTATTACTGACCCAGAAAGTAACAGTACATTGTTTGGTTTTTTGCTTTTGCAAGCATTAAATATTAATCATGCTTCCGTCTACCAAACAAAGTAATTGTTTCTCAGAATTATATTCTAATCCCCAGATGAAATCATCTTCCTTTTGTTAGACCTGTATATGTACAAGGACTGGAGTATGGCCAGACTGAATTTCAGATGTATTCTACAGAAGATTTGATGTTTTCACAAGCAGATTGTGTCAAAATTTTAAAAATATTCCCTTTGCAAAATGAAAAGGCAATTTCTTTGTCTGCTGGTGCACTTGGCCATCCAGTGTAGACAACTGTGTTTTTTCATACTTGTGTTCATGCAGTACTTGTGTTCATGCCTGAATTTCCCTCTGACTTGGTAACTTCAGCAGCTTTTCCTCAGTTGCCTGCAAGGATCAGGAGCTTTGCAAGGCTCAGCTACGCTACACATCGTCCAGTTCCCTTAACAGCACCTTCTGCTGCATTTCAGATGGCCAAATTAATCAAACTTCAGGCACTCTCCTCACTCAGCCAATGACAGGATGCTGCTCTCTATCTAATAATCCAATCAGCTGAACATCATTTTCACAGAGCAAGAAAGACTTTGAAAGATTAAATCTCTCACATGGAAAAAAATCATGTCTTTACAAAAAAAAAATAAAATAAATCTGAATGCAATAACCAGGGGATTTCTACAGTAGGAAGATGAACAATATTAAAATAGCGAAATGCTGTGGTAATGAAATATATGCATATAAATCCTTTTTTTGCCCTGATTTGAAAGCAGCAGAGTCTTTGGAAAGCTTTTTAAGTCTAATTAGTTGAAATGAACCACATAAACTGACAAGTATAATTAATAGAGAATACCAAAACATTATTTTGATCAGCATGAGGCTCTTCCTTTCTCTGTACCGAGTGCTTGATGCACTGCTTGCTGTACAATTAATTTCATTTCCAACTGTTTGCTTTGCAGTATACTATGCACTTTCCCCCCTCTCTTTTTAGACCCATTTATCTTGCAAAATAGATTCAACCTCCTCAGATCAGGGAGCTCCCGGGAGGCTTCCCGTGTCTTCAGGAATTAACACCTTCTTGTCATAATTGGTGCTCCTGTGCTTTTTGTACCACAAGGCAAAGGGAAAAGTGAGTCTCACTCAGAGGAATTTCAGGTATTCAGGTTATTTAAACTGAACTTTAAAAATCCCAGTCAAAGAGCAAAACTTCCACAACCTGCTAAATATGCTCCTGTGTCTTTCCTCAGGCATCATGTTCTTAGCATATGGACAGCAGACTTACTTTTACCCACTCAGGCTTTATTATCAGCTTTTTGTGGGTTTTTAAAAACATAAAAACCTCTCTCAAACTGCGCTATTTCAAACTACCTTTGCTCAAACCCGGTAATTCTTACAAACATTTCTTCATGCACTCGTTCGTCAGCAAATTGTCACACACACAGTTTTACCCAGAGATCATCTTATCATTAGTATAGAAACACAGCAGTGAATATTTTCCACTTATTATCTGGTGAGTTCCAGATCTGCTTTCTGAATCTTAAATCCTGAGGACGCTCCTTACCTGAGTAATCCAACCAAGAGCAGAGCACTCTAGTAGTGTTCATCGGAAAGATCTAATACTTTTTTAAATCCATCTGTACCACAATAAGGGATTTCTTTTACAGCTTCCCAATAATCTTCTTTATCGGGATTAAAAGTAGAAAAAAAAATTTAAAAAAAAATCCCTTTTTCGTTACAAATCCTATTTCCAGAGTAAAGAAGACATCTGAGCTCTCAGACTGCCGTCAGAAAAGTGGCCAAGGTTTGAGGGGTGGAAACCTTCTCATTTTCACCTTTAAATCATTTCCTAGCATCCCCTTGTGCTTGGCGAGCCCTTTGAAGTGATCTTGCGCTGGTTTGCAGCTCGCAGGACAGCGGAGGGCGAGGAGCAGCTCGCGTGTGCGGGCAGCGCAGCCCCGGCTCCGCACGGCCGGCCAGGGAGGCGCCGGAGCCGATTTCAACACATCCCTGCTCGGGAGAGCATCGCTTGTGCCTTAAAGCGACACAGCCCTCGCCCAGCAGCCCCCAGCCAGCGACTGGAGCCGCATTTAAATAGCGGCAGCAGAGGCTGCACGGCGCAGGGGAGCGGCCGCTCCGGCTGCGGGAGGCAGGTGGGGATGGGCAGGAGGCAGCGCCGGGGGAGGCGAGGGGCTGGGCAGCCGAGGAGAGAGCTGGGGATGCGCTAATTCCGCCGGCAGAGCACGGATCCCCCCGCCTTGTTCTGCCACTTATTCACCAGGGGAGAGCGGGACTCGAGGCTCGGGGCTCCCCGCTCGCACGGAGAGCAGCACATGCCTGGGGACGGGGAAGGGTGCTGCAGGGAAAGTGGAACGAGACTCACGGGAGAGCAGGAGACTCCCACACGCTCCCAGGGGCTTTCCGACACCTTGCCACAACTCTGAGAGCAATCCTTCCTTCCAACCCCATTTCCGAGGCATCTCTGCAGACGATGGGGAAAGAGCTCTGATTTACTCCCAAACGCTAAAGCTCAGCTATGCCAGATTATTTATTGCAGTTATTTATTCCCCACATCTTAAGTGGCCATTTACAGGAATGGAGTGGTTTCCTCTCCCTCTTGTACCATATGCAATTATTTTTTTTAAAGAGCCATTGTATAGACTTAGTACATACCATTCACTTGGTATTACAGCTCTTATGTCTGCGTACAAAAGAAAAAGGGCTTGGAGACAAAACAGAAACTTCCATTTTAAGAGCTCAGGATGTATATTACAGGATGCTATAACACAAAGTGGGATTATTTTTTTCCCCCCTGGATAACCTGTGGTAGAAGAGTGTGCCACCTTCACTGCTCACCAGCACAAGACACCAAACAATCATAAATAACAGCAGCACTAAGTAGCCTTACACTCAAGTATCTCCATCTGAGCACCTGAGGACATCTGTCTCAGTGGAGACTCACTGAGAGCTGCAATGAGTTTACCTGACAGATCACATGCTCCTTTGGAGCTGCTGTATTTTTTTTGACAACACAAAGCAAGTACCTGGCCCTGCAGACCAACATGAATTTTGGGCCTCTGGCACAATGCTCAGAGCAGGTCTTTATTACAGCCCTGACACAGTGAAGCAACTGGTGGCAGGTGGGTGTGACAAAGTGACACAGGAGATCACTGGCCATGGACCCTCCCCACAGGTCACACAGCAGAGCTCCCATCAGGTCCCTGAGCAGAGCTGAGGACAAGAGAGCGGCCCAGACCAAGCCTGATGTGACTAGAGACTCTTTCAAGAGGTCAACATTCTCTTTTCAGGTGCTTTGTTTGAAAACACATGGAAGAAGTATGGTTTGGGATATAATATAAACCCTTTAATAAGGGTTTTCTTGTTTTCCAGAGGAATTTCCTTAGACACTGAAAGAGAGCAGAGAACTGAGGTAGTTATTACTTTCTGGCCCCAGAAGGCTCAAGAAAAGCAGATGAGAGGCAACAAAATACCATGGAGTACTGAGGAACAAGGTAGGAACCTTGTAGCTACCCAGGATCAGGCACAGCCCAGAGCTTGAGTCAGCAGGAGGAGGCTGCTGGGGTTTGCTGCCAAAGCCACAGGGAGGCTCAAGGAATTCAATTCCATAGAAATACAGGGAAGCTGCTCTATTCCTATGGAATATTCTGCAGCTCCTGTGAGGGGCAGGTGATGGGAATTTGTTTGAAAATAAGCACCTGTTTAAGATATGTCCCTTTTTGGACTTTGTGGGAAGGATACAAGTGAAAGGGTGTGGAGGGAGAGATGTGAAGAAAGATGAAGGAGAAGGGTCTCAAGCAAATATAATCTTCTAAGAAACTCAAAGCCCTTGTGGACAGCAGGAAGAATCAGACAAATTGTGACCACACACCTTGGCAGAGTAGGCAGAGACAGATTTATGCAAGATACAGATTTATGTAAGGTACAGCAGAACTGTCACTCTGCCAAGCACTGCTAACTCCCAGCTCCATGAGGCTAATGCCACCATAACCCCTGACAGATGCTGCTATTGCTCAGGACAAGCTCTGCAGAAACAGGGGACATGTTGCTTCTGCAGGGTAGGGGGGAGATCAGAGGGACAGAGAGAATATTAAACAGGCTGTGCTTGCAGCCTCTCCCTGCCCTGGCTCCCAGCATCAGACAGGAACACAGGAGTCCTTGGCAAATCTTGCAGAAGCATCCTCACACCTGCTTTGATGTCTTTGCTGCCAATTTTAACTTTCAGTGGACCAACAAGACATCAAGCATTTTCCTCTTGCCCTCTTTGCTAAGGGCAGTGTCATATTCACCTGATGGTTTGGGGCTTTACTTCAGCCTCCTCACTTGGCTTTGCCAGGGAGGGAATGATGCTTTACAAGCACCCCTGGGCCCATGTTGAATGCTGGGCTACTGACACACTGGAAAGAGAAAATAGGAAGGAAAAAAGACACGAGTGAGCAGTCTGCACATTTCAAAAGAATTTCTCATGAAAAGGGAAGGCTGAAAGTAATTTGTCTCTGGGCAAAAGGGAGATGGGACAAAAAGTGGTGTCCTGTGGAATGGCAGCTCCTGGCAGCGCTGGGGCATGATGAAGCCATGCCCTGCAGAGGGGCAGAACACCCTTTGGGCTACATGGTCTGTGTGTGAGGAGGTGAAGTGTCAGGAGGAGGTCCGTCCACCCCCACTCTGATACCAGAGGAGAGGACAGAGACCAGCACCTGAGCTATCCCAGTCAGAGAGCATGGAAGCTGCCTATCTACAGCTCTGACTGAAGGACTCCACAGGTCTGCTGGCACAGCTGCCACGAGCAGACCATTACACTGGATGATATTTCCAAGGTGACAGTAGGTTGTGAGGGGTCAGCAGGAATCCAGCTATCTTTGAGAATCTGCCCCCCACCCAGGGCTGCATGCACAAGGAGAACAGCCTTTCCCTCCTGCTTCCACCATTCATCTAGAGATGCCAAGTGAGTGACAAAAATAGGCAAATAAAAATAAATGCTCTTCCCTGCCTGGACCTCTATTTATCACAATTTTCTGGGCACACAGAAAAGGAGAGCATATGCAACTCAGGCAGGCTCACACAGACGGCAGATTGGTGCTTGCACCCAAACAGGGGCCTCTGGCCTCTGCTTTCTGCCTCCTCTGACTCTCTCGCCCCCCACACTTGCCTTTTACCCATGAAGAGGTTTAACAGGACACATCCCAGGCTCATATTTCACAGGGGCTGGAGAAGGCTCACCACCTTGGAAATGCAAAGCTCCCCAGCTCTAGTGTTCCTGGGACAATGAAGCTTTGCTTTTCACAGATTGCTTTCTCCACCTTTCCCAGCTGCTTCCACCCACCCTACAAAGCTCCTTCCCATACCCCAGACTCTGCCTTGGCTGCTGCCTGGGCAACAGGAACTGCACACTGCAGCTCCTCCCTACCTAAATGCTCCTACCCAGGTGAGCCAAGTGTAGTCTCACAGCAAGTTTTACCTCAATTCCACCAAAAGCCAGATTTCTGACACTCATCCTAGGTTCACAACATTTGTGGAAGATTTTTCAAAAATCTGGCAGAGCAGTTTTCCTTGGCCCCCTCACCTCCCCACAGAGTTTTTCCTCCATTGGGAACCATCCCAGAAGGACAACCAGCAGCTGAGCATGTGAAGATTGAGCTGCCTACATGTGATTGCCTGCACAGGAATGCTATGAAGCCCAGAGTAAAACCAGCCAAGAAATCCTCATTCAGAGCCATGAGCCTCCCTGTATTTCTTGCTCTTGGTTGTTTTCCTTTCCCCTGGTGGAACAGGAAACACAAAGAGGATTCCTTTGGTACAGGGAGAGCACAAGTTTACCAGATCCCTGGGCACAGCTTGGCCCAGACAAACACTCAGAACCCACCTTCAAAGCATGAGTGCAGCAATGTTTGGTGCTGTGTGTGCACATCCCCTCTGCTCAGCCAGATGCTCAACTTCATGTCTAGAACTTTTGATATATTCCCAGCAAAACCTTCCTTGTCCTGAGACTTGCTTTTCTCAGTCCTCACCACTTTTATCCCTCTCTTGCAGGAGATCTGATCCAACCTCAATGACCAAACTGAATCTATTTCCTTTCTTGCCCTTCCTATGTCTTCAATAACAGCATGAAATCCTTCTGTCTGTATTGTCAGGTTTTCTTCTCCTATAGCTTTTTCCCATGACAAGAGAAGATGCAGTGTTTTTCCTGGAGGCAAACAAGTAAAGCTTAGCTAGAAAGGTACAGCAGTTTTCATGAAGGGAATAAACAGCAAGGATTTATCTGGCTGTGACCACAGCCTCCACTGACCAGCACAAAGACCACGCACACTAAGAGCCTGAAAAAGCAGAGCTGAACAACATGTGCAGGGAAGCCACTTCCCATGGGAGCCAGGGGCTGGTGCAGACAGTTTTTGTCCCACTTCAAGCACAGGATGTTGGGAGATTTGCTCTGTTTCCAGCACAGGTGCAGACATATGGATATGGAGGATCAGCCAAGCAGCAGCACAGCACACTCAGAGGAGATGCTCCACCTGCTGCTCTTGGCACCCAGAGCTGGTGGCTCCTTTCCACCCTCTTATCTCAAGGCACATCACTGCTCTGCCTCTCTCCCTGTGCCTCAGCCACACCAAACTTGCTTGGCAGAAGCAGCAGTTTTGTCAACATCCCCAAGTACACAGAGAAGATCCAACCAGGAAGATGACATAACCACCAGAAAAAGAAACCAACCAAAAAAATCCCCAGCCAAACAAAACTCCACAACAACCACAGCAGCACAATAAGTAG